GTGCGAATGAAATATCATGGCTTGATTCAGAATGTTGAGGTTTTTCTGTATGAAGTATCTCAGAAAGTTCATCATCTGAGTACTGACTTTCTTCATTCTCCACATTAACACCAGGAACATCAAGAAGAAGCATTGGGGTATTATCCTGTGATGCTAACAGAGTATGCGAGGCACTTTCTTCAGAATAGAGAGCCCACTCCGGACTTAAATCCTGCTTTTCATCATGGTCTTCTTCCGCAGAATTTACTTCAGTCTTTGTTGACTCTGGTAAAGGTGTGTTCCATTCAGGACAATCACCACTTCCAACATATTTATTGTCACCAATGCTGAACTCACTAGTGAAACCCTCTGTCATTGTTGCTTGGATTTCTTGGCTCATATCAGGTTCACCTTTGTGTGAATGTTGAGTTGATTCTGCTTTTGGATCAACTTCTTGATATTCACTTGAACTACCACAAACCAAGGGCACTGAACGTGAAGAGTCCAGAAAAAAAGATAAAGTTTAACAATAACCACAAATTGAAAGAGTGTTATAATAACAAAATCTAATATCAAATTTGACTTTCCTTTACTTAACATAGTACCCACAAAAGAATTCTCTAAATTTGGAGAAAAGTCATCTGCAGTGTTGAACTGGATCAACTAAACTGCAGCAGAAAATGGTGTGAACTGCACTGACTGAACTGTAAGAGGTTCACCTAACTTTAAGAACATGTAGTTGGGCAACTCAATTCCACAAATGCTTAAAAACAGACTCAATATTGGGGGTGCCATGCTCTACCTTTTCAGAGAGGAATATGAGTTTAGGCCACACTATGGCACTTTACATAATAAGTGAAAGATCAAATTTTCTTCTCACTATTTAGAATAAATATTAACTGAAGTATTAAGATATTGAAACTGAAGGTTTCAACTTTGTTAACTATTATAAGGCAATGTTAATTAAATACTACAGTGGGCATCTTCTGCCATTACCATATCACGCACTGCAAATAGCTGCCATGTGCATTTCCTGTGCTTACCTCACAATAGTTGGAGCGGCCGCTGGCCATTGCAACTGTTGCAACGCTATACGCAAAACTGCTTGCTCGCGAAGAAAAAGAGGAATTGTAACGCTGTGTTCAAGTTGAATAATATTAAAACTCTCGTTTTATTTGGTCCTACCAATTTTGGTCCATTTTGGTCCAATTTTGAACCGGATGCAAATCAGCCGCTCACGATGAGCAATCAAGAATCATGGCACTTGGTCAACGAATGTGTGATATCACCGCTTCACAGCAGCCTTGAAGTGACTCCTGAAGATGCGGTAAGCAGAACAAGCCAGGTCGATTCTGGTCATTTAAAAGCACTTTCTCACTCTATTTTTTCGTTGTCCTCGTCAAAGAGAAGAAGAGACCCTAAAATAAAGGCCTCCATTGCAAGCCTTCAAGCAAAAAAGCTTGCCGAATGAGTTAAGAGAGACAATGAAGTACGCGAACTGGAGTCTCAAGAAGAAATGGCTCAAAGGGATATAGAGTGGAAACTTGAATGTCGAAAACGAGAGCTCGACCTACTACGAAGGAAAAGAGAAGACAAAATGGCTGTGATTTCCGCTCAAAATCAAGCTGAAGTGGCAGACCTTGAGCATGAAATACTGGGTCAAGAATTTAACGAAGGAAAGGCCTCTAATGTTGAAATCTTCAAGGGTCAGTAAAACTTCGCCATCTTTGAAACATTATGTAGTGCCCAGTCCTAAAACAACCTCTGAGGTTGAACGCAAAGATAGTCCCTGTACTAAAGTTGAACCCGGAATTACTAAGGAATACGTTTTCCAAGAACTCAAAGGAGATGTTTACACAGAGTCATCTCGGGATAGAAAAGTTGTCTCATGAATACTCTCCATTGCATGCAATTTCCAAGCCCTTGCCAGTAAAGAATATAGAGCTCCATGCAGCTCATGGCAATAGCCTTACTTTAGGCTCTACTCACGTACCAGTTGCCCAAGCAAGTGAATAAGATATTGTAACACTCAGTACTGCAGTGCAGTCCCCTCAACGGGGATTATACAGACCTGAAAGACAATACTCGTCTCAAACTACAGCTACCCCCGTTAGTCTATCCTTGAGGCCTCCATCTTGTAGAGATTTGTCTTCATCTGGCTATGTGACCACGTCCCAGCCCAAACCTGGGTCATTTGATAATAGTAACACAGCTGCTCTTGCAACAACCTCTGTTAATTGATCATTTTCCCGTGGGCCTGGTGAAGAAGTCCCTCCAAAAGTTAGTTCCCTAGTGGGGGAAAGCAGTGTTGTTCTGGCATCAATGCCTGGTGGATATTGTGGATATTAGTGGATATACTACCACTAATAATAATATTGATAGTCATGATAGTAATATCAATTGACATAAGATGGAACAGTTCCAGCTGCCAAGAATGTTTGTCATGATAGAAAAACACCCCCAATACACCAAGCAGATGAAAATCAGTCCTTATAATTCTAGATAATACATTCCCAGCATAATGCTGAAAAGAAGTGGCACCATAGCACCATGCGGGCCAACAGTAATAAAGCAAGGAACTATTATGCGAGAGTGTAAGTGAATTGGTGAGCAAATAGATGAGTAACACACTGCGTAATAGTCTAGCAACTACATAAACTTACTACAACTTTGCAACAGCTGACAGGGTTTCTTTAAAATTTGGAGCAGAAGGGCATCTGGATTTCACAGGCAGGCATCTGTCTGAAAGGCCCTTCGGGCCTTGCCTTCTAGGGGGGTACAGGGCCATGCTCCCCCTAAAATGTTTGAAATTCTACAGTTGCAGAAATGCATTTTCCACCATTTCGAAGCATAAACTAACATCCAAAAGTTACCAGCTCTTTTTAAATTATGATTTGATGCATCAGTCAACAGATAAATTAGTACATTTGCTTTTGCAACATTTGGTTGCATGGTAAGATCACTAGAAGCTGTTTTGGTAACATCAAGTATTTCATTATTTGCCAAGTTCTCGGAAGGTGTTGTTTCTGTACAGCTATCATTTGCTGGGATCTCAGAAGACATGGTTTCTGTGCAAATATAGAGTGGAATTTTAAGTGTAAACGATTGTTAAGTTGTTCATTTCAGAGGGTATATGATTTCAATAAAAGTATAAAAAACGAAAAGGTGTTGGTGTTAGATTTCTTCTATTTTCTAATCTTACTAAGATGGATTTGCTAACAAACACATGGTGTTAAAAAGTTCTTTTCTGTACAGTTGCCATGAACGAAAGCTAGATTTCTGTTACCACACGAGTAGAGTTTTTGCATTCCACCACAGACACAGACGAACATTTTGTCAGAAGGAAAGTTGGCAGCTTCTGAAGCAAATTGACTTTGAGTTCCCGTTGCTTGCAGAAGATTCAAACTTCAAAAGTAAATCAGATAAGAATGGAGCTTTGGGACAGTTTTCAATCACCATAGGAGCAGCACGTCTTTCTGAATATATAACTCAAACTTTTAATTTAGTGCGAACTGGTTGTACCATTTGCGTAATGATACGTCTTGAAGCTCGAGCCAGCGGGAAAGAAATATTGATCACGTGCTAGGCAACCAGTTGAAAGAGCTAGCCGACCAAGATAACAATCTTACATAAACTTTGTGTATTTGATAAAAAAATTGGAAGAATTTATTTATTCCAAGTACTGCTATTTTTTTTATGTTTTGGCCGCTTTACTAAAGACATTTACCGTGACAAACTGTGAACCAGAGATTTCTGAATCCAATGTGCTAATTTATTTTAATTTAGAGCAATGAAGACCCCAATATCTCATTTGTGAAGGGCATAGATATGCCTTCTGGAAAAAAAATTGTCTCCATGGAAACTAACAATATTTCAAAGGCTCAATCAAAAAATTGTTTACTCGTAATTATCATTTGCATACTATGAAAACATTAAAGCCATTTAGCATATCGAAAGAATAAAATAAAGGCATTTAACACATCGAGACAAAAGAGTTAAATCACAAAGAATTATACTCACCTTTTGACCTTTTCTTAGGTGGAGGTAAGTCGGTTTGAGTAGGAAAATATTGGGCGATCGACCTAGTCCTTTTGCCGGTCGCCATCGCATAAACACGTGTATTTGCTCACGATTTTGAAAATGTCATGTGGGCTTTCATGCAGAACATTTGTTTTCGCAATGCATCGTGGGGCAAATTCACTTCTCGCCATGATTCCACTTTGCAGATGATGATTAAAGGTCAATAACACGTCTAAGGAAATAATCTTTTTATAAGTTTAAATATATTTTTTTAGAAGACAAATTAGGAAAACATAGGAAAGTAACTTTTATGTTCTTATGGTTGAGATGTTAAAAGCAGCCGGGCAATGCAGTCTTCACAGCCAGTCAATTTTGCCAGGTGCCCAGCCATTAAAATCAGCCAATGATAAAAAAGAATCACTGACACAGTTCAGGGGAAATTGAAAAGAAATGAATTACATTCGCACGTACTAAAATTTTCTAGAACGTGTTGTCTTTTGACAGCTGTAGGAAGACTAGGAAAGTATAAGGCCCGTAGCACAGAATATGACTCTTGGCTGCAAAGAATACGTCTGACTTCTGCTACTCTGTTTCCCTGGAGTGTGAGCGAGCCTAATAATTTGTTCAAAAAATATTTATTGAACTACTGTACTTTTCCTTTCAAGGTAGTTAATTACTCAAGTGTCTGGAAGTTTGTTTAAAACAAACCCTTTAACGCTTGCCGGTAAAATTTATTGGCCAAAAGTCGTGCTCAGTGAAAGTTTCAAGTAGAGTTACCGGTA